TGCACCAATACTATAAGCAATAAGCGGTATCTAGCAACACATTATTGCCCCCAGATTATAAGTTAAGACGTTTGCACCGTCAAAACCTTTCCACGACTCAGACTCCGTGGACCTGTATCCCTTTGTCTCAATGTCTAAACTTAATGCAAGGGATTAATAAAATCCAGCTTGTATCCATTAAGTCATTCACTGATTTATCAAGTCTGACTAATAGGAACAGACGTCATAAAAACATCTCAGCATGGCCATGCATTTTCCTCAATCATAACTTATCAGTGGGCCCCATAAGACATTAATCTCTTTTAAAAAGAGTAGTGACAAATCCTATGTACGTAATGTACGTTTCTGAATACGCGCTGCGGCATACCCAAAACAAAGCCTGTATACCATCCTTATTTCATATGGCTTAGGACAATGCATCAAAGCATGCGGGTTCACATATGCAGAAAACGTAATACTTCAACTCGAAGGATAGTTACACCCGTGGTCGTGCTAAAGATGCTTAGAGCATGAATTAAAAGTTCAAGCAACATCTTTAGGATGGGTCAGTCCGGCATCCTATTATCTCTAGATAATATGTGCCCATGTGCGGATGCGAACACACCGTCATTGACTATGAGACTAAGTCAAACATCCAACACACACTAGTCTCACATGCATTAACGATATCCCACTCTCGTTAATACTCGACTATGGACATTTAGATAAATATTTATTTCAAGATGTTAGTCTCATCAGCAGAAGAACACTATCTGATAAACATCTTTTAAATATAAATCTAGGAATATAATATTTGTTTACATTAGCATGAGATGTGTAAACATGTTATATCTGCCTATACATGATAGAATAACGATAAACAGTTGGCCATCAGGGCACAACTCCAACAAACACTTCGTCATTGACCAAGAGACTATGTCAAACATCTAACTCTCACTAGTCTCACGCGCACTAACGATATCGCGCTCTCGTTAATGCTTCGACTATAGACCGTTCAGAATTATACCAAGTGACAAGATGTTAGTCTCAACATCAGAAAACTCATTCTGATAAACATCTTATAATATAATTCTAGGAATGCAATTAAGAGTTTACATTAGCATGAGATGTTTGTAAACTTAATGCATCTGCTTTTACATGATAGAAAATATCTAAGATATTACAACAGCAGTTGGCCATAAGGGCACCAACTCCAACATCGTTTGTTTTGGTGATTCTCTATTTTCTCTAATTATAGCCATGGCAATCCACTGTCCAACAAACTATATTATGCAAATGGCCAACATGGAGATCAATTGTAGTTTATTTATGAAAGATGTACAAACTGGATAAAAGGATAAACGCCTAGAGTTGAAAAATGTATTATACGTTTAAGAATCTTACATACCATTTGTTTTGACATGCTATTCGCATGTTTGGTTGGAAAATGCTAATGTAGGAAATCAGATTGGTCCATGTGAAGAAATGCAGAAGGAATGTCCATGTTTTTGAAACATAATAGATTAGTCCTAACCAAACAAATGGTATGTGTAAAGATAACATTATGCCATGTATGTCTAAACAAACATGTGTGTGTGTCGGGGGTGGGGGGTAAAGGGATGTTTTATTTTTCTGATTTGCCAATTGTTCATGGAGCTTTGTCACTTTGAAACTTGGAAATAAAATGCTAAGGTAGGAAATCAGATTGGTCCATGTGGAGAAATGCGGAAGGAATGTGCGTGTGGTGGAAAAGATAACACATTGGTCCTAACTCAATAAAATCACACATAAATGGGTTCACAGTGTATTATCATCCGATATGAATAGTACCTCACAATATTTCATCATCTCTGAACACGATTTATGTAGCAGGAGACTTCCAATATCTTCAAAAATGACAAAAGTGGCATTGTCTATGGTGTCAATTACCCTAGCCTTAATTTGATACATGTTTTTCATCAGTGAATGATACACTTGATTAATTAAAGACTTTAATATACTATGAAATCAGCTGAGATGTAATTAGGAAAAAACCTTGGAATCAAACGTACAACACACTTATTACACTCATTTCAATAATAAGTGCCATTTAGCAGCATCACCTCCGAGCCACATATACATGTCGCTATAAACCAATCAGGACCACAATCAATACCTTTGATTGTTCCATATACTGCATATTCACCATCCTAAAGCCAGATAATAAGAAATGTATTACTCCCTCCGTCCGAAATTAAACTACCCATTTGGACTTTTTCCCATTTTTATGAAGTGTTGACTTTAGGATGGAAAAGTCCAAAATACCCTTCCCCCAATTCTCCCCACCCACTACCCCTGCCCTTTGCTCCCACCATCTCTGTCGATGCCACTGCTACCGCAAATCCGAAACCATCGTCTACCCCCCACAATCGCCACAGCCCCCACCACCACCTCAGCCCCTAGATCTTTCCAGACCTTACAGATTTAGAAGACAAACAAATAGGAGAAAAAGGGGAATAAGAAGAGAAAAAAGAAGATGAATTCATTTGGAGAAAGAAAAGAGGGATGAGAAAGAATTGGGGGGAGAAGAAGAAGAAGAAGAAAGAGGAACGGATCTGGACGGAAAAAGGACGAGAAAGAACGGAGGGGAGAAGAAGAAGAAGAAAGAGGAATGAATCTGGACGGAAAAAGAAGGACGAGAAAGAATGGAGGGGAGGAGAAGAAGAAGAAGAAGGAATAAATCTGGAGAAAAAACAGGGGTGAGAAAGAATTGGGGAAGAGGAAGAAGAAGAATGAACGGATCTTGGAGGAACAATTGTGGAGAGAAGAAAAGAAGAAGAAGAAGAAGAAGAAGAAGAAGAAGAAGAAGAAAAAGGGAAGAGAAAGGAAAGAGAGGAGAGGGGCGAGAAACTAAGGGAGGAGAGAGAAAGGGGGAGGGGATAGATAGGGTGAGTATTTGTAAGTGGGGGTATTTTGGGTAGTTAGTGTATAAAAAATTGAAATGGGAAGATTATTTCCGGACAGGGGAAAAGGAGAAATGGGAAGATTATTTCCGGACGGAGGGAGTACATGTATTGTTTCGAAGTATCAAAGGAAAATACATCCGTTGAAGTGGACAAAACAAACCTTAGCACAATCCTTTAATGCCTCGATTGTTTGTGCTTCTGTGTTTTTTTTTTAGAAAATCTTCTTCTACGGAGTAAGTCATTTCAGTGCTCTCAACATTGGGTTTGACATTGAAGTCACGAATAGATTCTAAATATTTAGTCATTGTTCCCGAATCATGACATATCTTTGACACCCTAAAAGACTGATCGTGACGACTCCTAAACATGGATCAGACCTCGACCTTGAAAAGAAATGTCTTCCTGAGTAGACGATAAGCAAATCCTTTTGGACTTTCAGAGTTTCCTTCCTGATTTAGGATGGGTTTGATAACATGCACACATACATTAATGAAAGTGATGGTATGTTTAAATAAACACTGATGAAAGTGATGGCTTGATCAGTTTCCATACACTATGTCTAATATGTTTTAATATATATTAGTATTTGATATTTCAGTGAAAATAAACAGCCATTTTTCATGAGGCCAAAATATGAGTACAATGAGATTTTACAACAGTATGAGAACTAAAAGAAACAGGCTTTAGACCACATATGAGAACTTACACAATCAGCTTTTTCAAGCAAAATGACACAAGAAGTGTTTAGAATTGATGTTGCCTCATGATCAAATAAAACAAAGGTGGTCTGGCCGGAATCATCTTCGACGGTGAGCTTGATTAAATATCTATAAAAAACAGTTTTCACATTAGTCAAAAGTTATACATAGGTGAGAAATTGTAAGATCAGTGAAGAGATTATAATCCTAACCGTGGAGTGACATTTAGAACACGGCACGTGCAATGCACACAATAATACATAGCACCATCCAGTTTCACTGCTCTATTACACTTGCAAGCTAAATACCACCAATCTCCGCTATTGTTGACTGCCACAATGGTCCCATACACTACATATGAACCATTGTGTTTCGATTACAAATGAAAATTTTATTATACCTTAATAACATCATCTATATACAACCACATAATAATTATTGATTTCTATGTCCTTTATATACATCATTATTTAATGCCCAGAAATCTAGAGAATGAAAAAAATACATCAAGACATGCTTTAAGCTGAGACATCACCATCGATCGGGATGTATCAAGAAACTCAGTTTCATGAGAACTTATAACATCATTACATGTCCACTTTAGAGGTTGACATTGCGTTGTTACTCCTGAATTCCTTCACGAAAGGTTTTTTTATGATAGCAATGCCGTGAGGCAGTAGTTTAAATTACTATTTGAATCAGAAAATTAACAAGACACAATGTGTTAGAGATGAATAGACCTACCTCCTTCTAAATGTAGTGACTTCTTCTACATCTGGATTCAAAAACAGGCGGGTACCGCACATAACATTTTGTAAAACAATTTTTCCTGCTAACCAGTACGTGCTAGTTTGAATTGAACAATAGTCTATTAACAAAAAAATTTTAAAAAAATCATCTTTTCGAAGTAAATGTGTTACTAATACCTTGGAATGTCTTCACTTTGGCATATTGAATTACAATAACAGCATCATGTAATGGCTGCTTTTGGAAGAAGCTCTTAAGCACGTCAACATGTTCCCCGAACAGAGTCACATCCAACTTCATACTACTTTGTCAAATATATATATATAAATGAATCATAAACACATAACCAAAAGTACATATAAATGTATGTTATGAGCAATAAAATAGGAGTACAGTACCCTTCTGCCTATACGATTATCACAATCATTTTTGTTCTTTTTGACTTACATGTTCATCCATGAAGACCATCTTAATCGAGTTTGTTGTTCTCTCATCACCAAACGTTGGTAACATATACAGCCTCACCACACGAACCATAACTCTCCAGCATTCACTCGAAGGGTTGATCTTTGACAATGGATGAATAGTTTTTGCCATGGGAAAGATAAATTAAAACAATGAGTATATAGGACTATAATTTTGAGAGGAATATGTATTTGAATGAGAAGATATAGAGTAGAAAAACGCAGAATCCTTTATATATATATATATATATAAAGCATAGAAATTTGGGGAAAGAATAAAGAACCCTAACAATTTGGGGAAAATAAAATTAATGCAAATTTCCCCAAGATCAATGCTCGGTAGTAAACCAATTGAAGGAAAGAATACCTGATATTACGAAAAAGCTGTTCATACGCCGGAAATTGGGCTGTGATTGTTAGAAATCGGCTGCCATTGATATTCTAAAAAAGTGACACATCAGATTTGCCAAATGTCACGCCATAGCTCCGCCAAATGTCGCCTTCCCGCAGATCCGGCTCTGCTTTATATATATACTAGTATAGTATTCCTACCCGTGCAATGCACGGGTTCGGACGAATATCTTGTCGATTCTGAATTTATTCAATGCAATATTTTTTTTTGGAATAAAGAAAATATACCTCATGCATGATTTATAATAACACAGAAAAGAAAGGCAAAGTAAAAAAAATAATATTTGAGGAATTGAATCTACACACAACAAAGTTTGCTTTAATACCAAATTTTTGAAAGATTTCAGAGTATACAACATTTTTTGTATGGCTGCAAGGATTTCCATTATCATCTAAGACTAATATTTTTAATACTGTCTTTGTCTTCACTTGCGAAACAGCAATATAAAGCTGATCATGAGTAAACACTGACTTGGTTAA